AAAGTGCTTCTGATTACTACTGGGGCAGCTGCGAGAGGGCAAAGGAGAGCATATTGCTGTATGAAATAACACTGAGGCATATACCAGCACTACCCTATCAACACTATAATAGGCACAGGAGTCATCCTTCCCTTAGCTTCAACAACCCTGTTCTTGGGAAAATCACCTCCAGTGGCACTTGGCACCTGCAGCTCAATTTAGTCTCACCAATGTCTGCACGGCAAATGAATTCAAACTGGTGATCAGCAGTTCGCTTCTTTTCCTTCTCTGGTTGACACAGATGAGCAGAGAAAAAGCTGGTCTAGTTGGTGCTGCCAGTACATAGACAGAATTCTTCCAGATCTTCAATTTCTTACATATTGTTATTTACTTTTATAAAGGAAAGAAAGAGCCTCAAATGCAAAAAAGTTGGTTCTTTCTCTTTTTCTTCCAATTAGTTTTTACTCTGTTTGCACGCAGGAATGCATAGGCATTTATCTCTTCATTAAAGTTTTTTTCCAGGACTTTGATTGTCATGAAAATCCATGGAACTTCTCTCCAATCTTTATGAGATTATTAGCCGTGGTGAAGAGCAAGAATAAGAAAAAAATGCATATGCAGGTAGTTTGGTCACCACATTCTCTCACTCCCAACTTTACTGGGTGAATTTTCAGATAAGTCTAGTGATATATCTGGCATCTCTTTCATAGTTTACCTGCTATTTTTATTTTACTCAAGTGACATAACCAACCACTGGAATTTTCTTGATCTAGGTCTCTAGCACAGAACATATATGAGGATTAAAGACATAGGTGCAAAAGGGAACAATGAGAAACAGTCTTGTGCCTGCCATCCTAGTGCATTATTTATTTTAATATCTTCGGGGACAAATCTTCAAAGTGCTTTTTTTCCTACAGAATGTAGAATGGATATTAGTCTTAAAAAAAAACAAAACAAAACAAAAAAAACTTTAAAGTTCTGTTTTGATAGTAGATGAAGTTGTCTATGAGTTTATGAATCATTTGTTTTGACCAAGGACTTTAGAGGTTCCTTGGACTGTTTAATGTATTTAAACCAGGATTTTTTTTCTAATAGAGGCAGAACTTATGTTGCTGTAAACCTGACATATTCCAAATTAAATTGCATATAAAGATTCTGTATATAAGTACTTAGACACTTCTGGATTCTAGCATTAAAACTGAAAGCAGTGTTTTTCTGGATGGATGTACTAACTTCAGGTGGACGGTGCCAGAGGTGATTTTGTGTGGAACATTCCAAATAAATGCCAGTAAAGTCCTTAACTCATACTACAACACCATGGGTTTTGCTCTAACTTGTTTATACGAACTATATCAGTCTTCAGCAGAGCTTCTGAGTTTTCTAAATTATATTACTTTCCATGTGCTTCCAGTCTCCTATCATGCAGCCATTTTTCTTTCATTCTTGAGCCCAATTGTTCTGTGGAGCTATTGCTTTCTTACTCGAGAGATGAGTTTCCTCTGTGTCCTAACAGGGATAAAGACGATATTCTTGATAGTAGTGCAGAGCCACAAACCCCGAGGAGCATTAGCTGTACTATTCCCTCAATTGAACTTTGGAACCAGAGTATTTCCAGTTCATATGTAAGCCTATCCCTTACACATTTACATGACAGGAAATTCAACAGTGTAAACTGCAACTGGTGAGGTCTGAATCTGCCCTAGTACAGGGAATTTTTATATATTCCTACAGCTTTAATTCTGAGAAGTTTTCCTTCCAACTAAGTTTTCTTATTGATTTAGGAAAGCTGTAAAATCACCACAAAGCTTCTTACATATTTATTACATAATAAGAACAAGTAGAGATTGCTGTCCCATATTTTCTGTTATAAGAACCCGTATTTTCTTGTATATAAGCATATCAAAGTTAAATCTGTATACTGAAATTCTCTAGGTGTCTACTAGAATTATTTCATTTTGGTGAATGTTTCAGCTAATATAGCTCAGTTATTTTTGAGTCTGAAATAGTGTGAAAAGACGTTATTGTATTCATATTTGTTTTAATTAAATTTGCCATGTCATCTCTATAAAGTTAATTGAGGTTAAATTTGGCCCAGTTTATAATAAATGTGTGCACAGCATCTAAGAGAAGGAAGACAAATTCTCCTCTTATCCCTGATCTGCTGCAGCAAAAAGAAAGAAGTGAGGCTATCCTCATTCTCAATGTAGGAGGCTGTGAAAGGAGGCTGTAGGAGAGCAAAAAGAGAAATCAGGTAAAAAGAGAATCAGGTATTGGGATTAAGGGGAGATGGAAGCAGACACCAGGGAGATAGAAATAAGGGGGACTGTTTCTTTCCCTTCAGAGGCAGCTTTCTATGATCAATTTACTCTCCTTTGTCAGCAAGGGAGAGAATTATTATCTGAAATTCCTCTATTTGCTCTTGCGGAGAGATAAAGAATAGGCTTACCCCTTAGGAAGAGACAACAGGATCTGTTTTACAGGATCTGCTGCTGTTGACACTAATGGTAACACAGGAAAAGCTCCAAGACTGAAGCACAAGAAGACCAGGTTCTTGCCTTCACAGACTGAGGACAAGGAGGCAACATTAATTCCTGAATTAAAACAAAGAAAGAAACGAAAAAACCTAATGGCAAAGAAAAAAAAAGACCTAGTGCAGAAAAAAGAAAAAAAAAATAGTAAAGAATTAACAAAATAATGAAAATAATGCTGTCTCTGCCAAGCAGCAACTTGGCACAAACAGGCAGCATTTTTCCTGTGCCTGAGTATTTGTTGAACTGGGTTGTAAATTTACAGTATTTTAAACTGAGTGCCAAGGTTTGTGACACCAGTAAACAGTATGTAGTAGCTCAGTGATGAGTACACCCTGATTGTGCATAAACATCATACAGTGATGATGGGTGAAATCTGGAAAACAGCGATGATGTAATTGATGTGGAATGTATTTCTTTAAAATTGTTTAAAAAGGGGAAGCATTGCTCAAACAAGGAAGTGAAAGCAATAGCAGTAAACAAATTGCTGTGTTTCCTAAAATGAGTGAAAAAAACATATAGTCTGTTTTTTGGACAGGATCTCCCGTTGGCTCAATTTGCATAAAGCCATTTATGCTAGATATTTCTAGCAGCAATGACCTGAAATGCAGGTTTGTTTGTTTTTTTTTAATTATTTTTTACCCCAGTTCTTCCTTAAATTTACAGTCCTCTTTAGGTTAGTTAACATAGAAAGGAAGAAAAGGAGAAATGACATTTTGTATGTGTTTGCCAGGAAGATAAAAAGGGTATTAACCCCACCTTATCACTACCACAGTTTGCACAGCCTGTGCTGCATGCACTCTTATACAACATGATGTACTTAAAATGACATGATTGCACAGCTTCTCTCTTCATAGCAGCACTGTTCTTTCAAGATATGATTTGCAGCCTTGTAGCCTTAAATCATACCCCTTACTGTGAAATATAATTTTAAATGTAATAGCTTTGTAATGTTTCCATGATTGCCTTACAAAGACCTCCCTTAGATTTTGCAAGATATTCTGCAGAGTAGCACTTAAGAGTCCTCAAGAGTACATCTGTAAACTAATCAGACCATCTGAAAGGAGAGAAGATTTAGCAGGCAAACAGGGTGAAGCATTGCTTATTTCACTGTGCTTTTTGAAAGAAAGCCATGTTGCTGTGGAACAGGAGATTTGATATTCAGAAATAATTCGTACCCTTTGTTAAGCCCTGATTCAGCAAAGCATTAAAGTATGTTCTGTTATGAGCTTCTCAGCTTTTGATTTTGCTGCTCCTTAAGATCTCTACAGAATCAGAAGCAGCAAGCTAAATAGAATGGTGGAGATAAAGTTTTTCATGGATTTGCTTGCAGAAAGCCTATTTCATGGTGATGTTAAATGAGTGCAAATAGTAAAAATTCTTCATTTTAGCAAATTAGCATCGTAAGGTTCCTCTAGGGGTAGGAGTTTAGAAAGGTCATCTGCTTTTTTGCTGGATTGCTTCATAACTGTAAAAAAGTTGGAAGCTTTTTTATCTTTTGGTCTGAAATGAAGTAAGTAGTCTAAATGGAATGCAGGATTGCCAGCCTATTTTTGATTGTCTTGGTGTGATCCCTGACTGCAGTTCACATTTTGAACTACTGTTGTGCCTCCTGTGACTCATAATAGTCACTGCCAGCTAATCAAGTACCTCATCCTTCAAATGCTAAACTTTCCACCTTTGTGTTGCCAGACTCCTTGAATTGCACTTTCTATGGCCCACTCTTTGGATGAATTTCATGATTATCTTTTAGGAGTCATATTACCCTGTTACTTGTGTAGTTGTACTTTGTCTCCTACTGCTAGAAGATCCTAAGAATAGAGGCTTGAATTGCTTATTTTTTGTGGACTTTTATTTTGTGTATTGTTTAGACAGATGGTCTTTAACTGGTGTTTGCATGTCAAGAATTTTTTGACCTGCCTGCAAGCGGTGAGATAAGAGCAGTGATGGGTAATGTTTGGGCTGCACTGGTACAGCTAAATTCAAGGGGATGGAGCTATGCGGGGTTTGTGGATACCACTCTCACTCTTAGGTTTCTTCAGCATTCTACTGATGAGTAACTAAAGAGTTTTGTCCTCATCCATTCTGCTTTTCTTATTATGTGTTAAATATTGTTAAGTCTGAATTAAGGTGAACATAACTGGGAGGAGAATGAAAAAAATGAAGAGTTTTGGAATATTTCTATAGCCATGCCCTTGGTTCCAGTCAAATGAAAGAAGGTTCATATCTGATTTTTGGCTTTATTGGGAGCTACAGTTTCTCTACTGATATGGGTGTCAGCAGTATAGCAATTGTGCATGAATTCAAGTGCCCTCCGCCATATTTTGTCAATTTGACAGTGAATGCCATCATCAGTCATTTGTTAATCTTTTCCAATATAATAACTTAAGCAAAATGTTCCCTTCTAAAACCAGCAGAAGGGGCTTGTTTCAAGCTGTTGAAGTCGTCTGCTCTTTTTTCATTTTTTTTCTACCCTTTTTCCTCTCATTTTAGGGAAGCAATGTAATGGAGGACCAAGATCTCTTGGAAATAGGAATACTTAACTCTGGACATAGACAGAGAATACTCCAAGCAATTCAGCTTCTCCCAAAGGTATAGTTTCTGCTATTATCCAAGTGCGAGAACTAGCACCTACAGCTTCCACATTTTTTAAAGTTAAAAAACATAAACATAATTCTCTACTGGTCTTGTTACCATTTGTTGTATGTGCAAAAGTATAATAAAGTAATATCATTACATTGAACTCACTTTGTATGGACAATGAACAAATAAAGCAAAGGAGTGTAAAATCTGTAATTTCAAATTACAGCTTTTACGAATTCATTTTAATTTCTTCTAGTTTTTTAATCTTTTTATACACTCTGTCATTACACATGTGTAAATAGGGCTGTCAATGAATACTGGATGTTTGACCTGAAAGTACTTTTCCCTTTGAAGAAAGAATCTTATAAGTATTCTTCATACCTTTGGATGAAACATGTTTTTCCTAATACTTGCCTTTTATGTATGATTTGGAGACTTCCTATAGGCTCCATATTTGATTTACTGCTTTGTATTTTTTCTTCTCAGCTGTGGACATAACAACTTGCCAGTCATTTTCCAATCATTTTTTAGTTCTAGCTGATTTAAGCTACAGATTTTAAAATCAGCATTATAAAAGCATGGTTCTTATATTTTGCACAACAGCATGATATCAGTGCAGGCTTCTGCTAGTGTTCCTAAACAAAGAAATTTGAATAGGTAAGTGAAAGAGATACTGGGCTAAGCATGAAAACTTACTGATTTTGTGTAAGGAAACTGTGTAAGGAAAATGAATGGAAAGCCATAGACACCACTAATTCTCAGAGGGCTGCCATGAGAGATACTGAGGCAGGAATAGCATCTGGTGTAAAGTGCATGGAGTACTCTGGAGTTTGGGAGCAGCATGTGTGGAATGATCAAGGTAAAGAGAGATTAAACTGTTTGCAGTGTGACAGTGATGGAGAGTGAGAAGAGCCATTAAAGGATTTTTCAGTTTGGATCATGAGTCTGATTCTGCCAAGAGGATTTTTGATTCATCATAGTTAGTTAGAAAATTAGTTAGTTTTATGGATTGCCTGTAAAAGAGAACAAGGGTTTATTTTGTATAGGAAATATGTAAAGTTGTGAATTGCTTCTACTGATGGATGTGCTAGACAATCTTTGTATACTACAATTTGAGTCTGTGCACTGAAACAACAAACATGATTAAAGACAGTAATATTCCATATACCATATTAGACAAGTGAGATAAATGGGGCAAGTATTAATGTATATAAAAGTAGCATTTGATGAATTACTATAGATATTTATAGTTTAAATGTGAATTTATGAATTATTCAACAATGCTATCATTCAAAAAAAATCTTTGCAATTTTAATCCCTGCTCTTAGTTGATGTATTTTGTTTGTTTTTCATATTTCATGAAGAAACCAACTCTTTTTTTATTCATTTAAATTGTTCAGAATTAATGAATGATTTTTTAATATTCCATGTTTTAGTGCTGTATGAAAATATTTATAATTATCAAAGAATCATAGAATGGCTTAGGTTGGAGGGAACACTGAAGATCATCCAGTTCCAACTCCCCTTCCACGGTCAGGGTGGCCAATTACTAGATCAGGCTGCCCAGGGTCCCATCCAAACTGGCTTTGAATGCCTCCCGAGATGGGGCATCCACCACGTTCTCTGTTCCACCACCTCACTACTCTCTGAGTGAAGAATTTCTTCCTAAAATCTAATCTAAATCTCCACTCTTTTAATTTAAAGTCATTTCCCCTTGTCCTTTCATTATCAGATCATTTTATAAGTAGATCCTCCTCCTGCTTATAAGCTCCCATTCAGATAATGGAAGGTCACAATGAGGTCTCGCCAGAGCCTTCTTTTCTTCTCCAAGCTAAACAAGCCCAATTCCCTCAACCTATCTTCATTGGAGGGCTCCAGCTCTTTGATTATACTCGTGGCCCTCTGCTGGGCCTGCTCCAACAGCTCCACGTCCTTCTTGTGCTGACACAGTACTCCAGATGGGACCTCATGAAGGCAGAGTAGAGGGAGGCAATCCCCTCTCCTTCCCTGCTGGCCACCCCTCTTGATGCATCCTAGGATGCTGTTGGCCTTCCAGACTGCAAGAGCATGCTATTGTCTTATGTCCAGCTTTTTGTCCATCAGGACCCCCAAGTCTTTCTCCACAGAGCCACAGTGAATTCTCCCAGTCTGTAATTGTATCTGAGATAGCCTCAATTCAAGTGTAACACCTTGCACTTGGCCTTGTTAAACCTCACGCACTCACTTTTCAAGCATGTCCAGGTCCCTCTGGATGGCATCCTTCCCTTCCATTGTGTCAGCTGCACCACAGCTTAGAGTCATAAGTAAACTTGCTGAGGGTACACTCCATCCCACTGACTATGTCATTAGTAAAGATGTTGAAGAGCACTGGTCCCAAGATGGACCCCTGGGGGACACCACTTGTGACCAGCCTCCACCTGGACACAGAGCTGTTGGAAACAACCCTCTGGCTACAACCATCCAATCAATTCTTTATCCACCTGATAGTCCAGCCTTAAAATCTATTTCTCTCCAAATTGGAGATAAGGATGTGGTGTGGGACAACATCAATGAGAGTAAGTCCAGATAGACAACATCAGTTGCCCTTCTGTTGTCCACCAGTCCCATCACTCCATCATAGGAGGCCACCCAATTGGTTAGTCATGATCTGCCCTTGGTAAAGCCATGCTGGCAGTCTCAGATCACCTCCTCATCTTGCATGTGCCTTAACATCTCTTCCAGGAGGATCTGCTCCATGATCTTCCCAGGTGCAGAGGTGAGGATCATTGGCCTGTAGTTCCCCGGATCTTCTTTCTCCCTTTGTTGAATATGGCAGTGGTGTTTTTCAGTCACAAGGAACTTCACCTGAAAGCCATGATTTTTCAAATATGATGGAAAGCAGCTTGGAAGTTACATCAGCCCATTCATTCAGAGCGCTGGGATGTGTGTTGTCTGACCCTGTAGACTTGTACACATTCAGCTTCATATGGTAGTCTTGGACTTGCTCCACTCTTGCCCTGTGAGAGATTTTGCTCCTCTGGCCCCTGCTTAGAAGTTCAGGGACATGAGAAGCCTGACTGGTTATGAAGACCAAGGCAAAGAACTTGTTAAGTACCTCAGCCTTCTCCATGTCTGAGAAGGTCAGCTCTCCCCTTATATTTATGAGAGGGGGCACATTCTCCTTTGCCTGTCATTTCTGACCAGCGTATCTAAAGAAACCCTTCTTGTTGTTCACTACATCTCTTGCCAATTTTAATTCCATCTGTGCCTTGGCTTTTCTGATCCCATCCCTGCACAGCTGGACAGCATCCCTATATTCTTTCCAGGCCATCCCCGCAACATCCTCACTCACCTCAGTCCTTTGGATGACTTCCAGATTCTGAAGCTTCCCACAGTCAGAGGTCTGGGCAGCAGTGTTGCCCCCTAGGAGGTCCACCTGTGTAAACGTGTGAGCCCGGAAAGATTATGGGCCCTCCATCAGAGTTGTGGTCATCATCTTAGTTTCAATGGGGTGCCTCACCCACAAGAAAGGAGCAAGCTCCCTAACACCCTCCCTGTTTGCCTTGCCAGCGTCAACTGCAGCACAAACTGCCGTACCCATCTGTCTGCACATCCTGTTCACAGCACCCCTGGGAACATCCTTTGTATGAGCAAGGGTTGGATGCCATCACTCCCAGCTCTGTCCACATTGTGTTAGAGCTGCTTCTCATCACTGACTTCAGTCTTGCCACTCAGGGGAGGCAGGGGCACCTTTTTGCAGTTTTTCCACCATTTTGTTGCAATTTTGCCTCTGCAAAGCATCCATTGGTGCCAGGAAGATGACTTTTCTCACTCTTCGATACTGATTTCCTAAAGAATGGTGGTATCTCTGTATTTCAAACACCACTAGTATATTTAGGAACTATTACTAACGCCTGATGTAGTTTTAAATAGGAAAAAAAATCCAGGTATTTATCCAAATATAGATCAATTTATTTTGTATTTTGTTATACTGTGTTTAACCATTATAAAAAGGCATGTATGAACCAGAATTCTCAAAATAGAATATTTTTCCTTAATAATTCTGTATTTGAGGAAAACATTTCATACGGGAGTAAGCTAATATTTTTGTAACAGATAAGGAGAGTTGGGATCTTTTTTTGCTTGTCATTTTATCCTCTTTGTTAGATTAGAGATAGCAGCCCACATTCTCATCTTACACTAATGTAGTTTAAGTTATTCAAGTTTCACATTAATATTAACTAGAGTACTTTATGGTTTGTTATTATTAGATAAGGTTAAGATGTGACAGTAGAAATATAATTTGTAAAGTTAATTCTTAAAAGGGACATATTTTATGCATGACACCAGTTTTAGAGCAAATGTCTTAGCAGAGTTTGATATTACATTCAGAATTTTTTTTGTGTGTTAACAGAATGAAATCAATAAATCTTTGGAAATGGATTTTATATGTTTTATTAAAAGGAAGTTCAGATGTGTAGAGAGCCAGAGACCATGCCTGAAAGTATACTAAATTTGCAAGTACAAGGACTTCAGAAAAAAACTAATACTGAGGGAGTACTTGTTTGCAAGATATGCATAATTGACTAAGAAAACAACAGAAGTCACAATGTGTCATTTTCAGTTATCTCAGCATCCAGAGTCTATGTGCAAGTGAATTCTCTGTGGATTCCTAAGTGGTTGAAAATAATTATCCTAGCTCATCTGAGGACCTAGATGAGAAAAAGGAATTTTTTCATGTCAGTTGCTCAGTATAAAGCTCCTTCTCCCAGCCCGTAATGGGAACACATTCTCTCATTTGACAGATGGAAGAATGTTGTTAGCTTAAAGCACCGTTTTCCTGGCTTCAGAGCTATTCTTATAGTATGCAGCTTGTTCCTTCCTGCACAGAGAGGTTTCACGTCTGAGAATCTTGTAGCAGTGGTATGCAGGCAGCAAGTCTGTTTCCTGGGTGCTTTGCAGAAGCAGACAAAAAGTAGGACATGAGTGGGGTATTGAGCACATGCTCTCTGTAAATAGTGTTATATGAG